TTCTAACAAACTACTAACTTCACTAACCAACTATCAAGTTCCTATCAGAGTGTTGGCGCCGAGAATCTAGGATTAGTAATTAGCCCTAATTTTATTTATTATTCTGGTGGGGTAGTTAGGTAATTTCGGATTATTAGCTTAGGAAGTTAGTTTTTTAAGTTTTAGATAAGCTATGTTATAGCCACTAGATAAGAGATTAGTTTTAGGGTTAGCTTTAAGTCAAAGGCTTCTCAAGCCTATTTATGTACGTTTTATCTCAGTTCAATAATACATCTCAGTGTTTTTCATTCAATCCGACTTTAACTTAAAACAAATGTAATGACCAATTTATCATGAACAAAACTCATCCCTGCCGTTTCAAAGGTATTAATATTATAAATCCTACACTAGGTCAGACATTAGGGGAATTAGGTATTTTGATAACAATAAATAAATAAACCTGTTGCACAACAGCATCACGGTAAAACCTATACGTGTGGAGGAGCCTTGCAACCCTATCAACCTGAAGACAGTATATTCTACCATAGCTGTAATGATGGAGAAGTTATGTAAGTTTTTATTTCAAATGAATAAACTAAATTTAATAACACAAGTATGTTTTTATTTCGAATGAATAAACTAAATTTAATAACACAAGTATTAAGGTAATGGAAACCTACATGGTGACGACAAATATATCTTCAGCAGCAAGAACTGGCTTATTATTAGCCTCCGATTTAGCCATCACCATCTCAAACTTTGGTAAGCGGATGATCCCAGCAGATGAAAGCTAAGAAAATTAGATAGTAGATACATTACATTGATGCAATAACCATAAATACAATCATCTCATTCAAAAATCATGTTAAACAAAATAGTCACGTAGAGGAATTCTACAAAAGCTGCAATATATGTCTCAAGAAGCATTTTTTGCTCTCAGGCCATGAAACGAAAAGTTACAACCAAAAACTTGACTGTTTTTTATTAAGGGTCTAAAGATAAAAGATATAATAAGGAAGGTAAAGAAAGTGGCCTTCCTCCAGTGGGGTTTGGTTCCTATGACGTGCTTCTGAGCAGCAAGCTCCGTCACCCATTTGAATACTATAATGATTTAATTTAGAAACACTAGAACGCACATTAAAGGCAACAGCAACAGTATCTTGGAACTGATACCAAGTTCTAGTTTCCAATACATAACACACCTTATAGAAACAGCCTACACTATGAGGTAGATAGAATTAAGATAATTATGAGACAATTGACACTATGACAGTAGTACACGTACCTGAAATCCATTGAAGGTCTTGCATTGCATTCCAGAAGCGAGAAGAAGTAAGCGACTTTCATGAGTATAAACATACCAACTCACAGTCAGTCTCCTTGTTTCCACCAACTGTGTTGATCTCGACTCAGAATTATAAGCAAGCAAGTCCAGCCCACTGTATGAATCTCAGTTCAGCAAAAGAAAATTAGGGGAAATTTGGCATAATGGAGGTTATTAGTTGTTCAACTTTCCTTTCTAAAATGGAAATAACCAAAATGAAAAAGTATTGTACATCGAAAGATAGATATCACAATAAACAAATAAAATAAGGATATAAAATATATGTTCTAAAGTTCACACTAAATAAGAACATAGATGCATCCGCAAGTGTCATTTATCCATAGGCAGGAACAAACCATAATAATAGCTTTAAAAAAGCCTGCGCATCATAGCAGTTTAAAGCAGACTAACAAACAACCGATATGTATTAATCATCATTATGGGTCTATTTTAGAACAGCAAACATTCAAGAATATAAAATATATGTTCTAAAGTTCACGCTAAAGTCAAACATATATGTATCCGCAAGTGTCATTTATCCATAGGCAGGAACAAACCATAAAAATAGCTTTGAAAAGGCCTGCTCGTTGTAGCAGTTTAAAGCAGACTAACAAACAAACAATATGCATTAATCATCATTACAGATATATTTTAGAACAGCAAACATTCAAGAAATCTTTTGAATCATTGACTAAGGCAATTATATATATCTAGAAATCCACCTAGTGACCTAACAGTATATTTAATACTTCTTCCTTTAAGTTGGCTTTCTAAAAGGTACTTGTATGGCTGAGAACTCCCAAACCATACGCAAATAGGAAGCTAACCCATGTTGACAAGCAACCAAACCCCTTAATTTGGCAAGTAAACAGGGAGGTATAATTTTACTATGAATGACCCGGTATTGAATACAGATAACAATATCAGCAAAAGTCACATCTGAAGAGAAGAAGGGACCCATCTAAGTTTCACGAGTGAAAATCTCACAAGTGAAGCCAGCGAGACACAAAATGTCTAGACTCCAGCTAAAGACCATATTCACTCTGAAGTGATTAAGATATAGACAAAAACCCAGCAACAAAATCCAGCCATCGATATTTAAAAACTGTGTGAATGTTCTCTTACCTAGTTTTTACAAGTACAATATCACACAATGGACAATCTGTCCAAAAGAATCCCAAGATACTCTCCGACTCCGGTCGGCATCTATGAGTAAAAGTTTCCCCACTTTCTCTATGCCAAAATTGTATCTCGTGAGAAGATCTTAAAATTGCTATAAACTTTCCATCTAATGAATACCGAATAGATAAAATGGGCCCTTCACTTATTGAATCGCTTGTAGGAGCAACATTAGAAGCAAAGGGTACAACTTTCCATGAGAAAACCTAAAAGCACAATAAGAAACAAGGAATTAGAATTAGTTTAGATAATATCTAGAAGCTTAAAACTATGCTATTTATGAGAAGAAAAAGAACCAATCACGTAGATATGCTCAAGTTCAAAATAACTTTACTTCAAGTTCTCTCCAAACATCATATTTACCTGTTCTGACGTTGGGGATATCAGTAATTTATTCGCATCATCATAAAACAAACCCCTAGATCCTGGAATACTGCATCTTAGGGATGGATATCTGATATATACATGTGACAAAGCACCAGAACCATTTAGACCAACACTGGAATGGGAACTTGACGCTTTCCCTATCATCTCTTAAAAGCAACCTTCTAAATTTTAGTTGTGGAGGAGTACAGTGATACTACTTATTGACGGACAAAACACTGCAGGAAAACAGAAACACAAGTGTCACGCAAACGTGCACATTCATTCACACACACAATGTTTACAAGGTAAAAGAGTATTATCGAGATGAAATAAATAACTAACTAAAATCACATTCTGCTTTTGAATGAAATACCTCCTTATTTGCTTCCAACTACTGCCTCTAAGTACTTGAAACGGGACTTGCCACTTTTTGACAATTATCCTATTGAAAGAAGAACACTCCTCAAGCCTTTCCCCGCAGCTGCTCAAAAAGGAAACAAATTCAAATGGATGTTTTCTTAGAAGCGAAGACAATTCAAGCTGTTAGACAGTACAAAATTTTTGTTTCTATCATGAAAATACGGTACCGTATTCTGCATGCAATTCTTAAGAGCAAGAAATTCTTTCAGACACATGTCTCGTTCAACCTCTGGAACCTTTGCTGCAACACAAGTCCCGTATTCTTTTGCCTAAAACGAACAAACACGATAAATTTAACGCTCTAAATTCCAATGCACCAAAATATAATCTAGATGTTGACATTACCAGTCCCCTAAGCTCCAGAATATTTCTTTAAGTAAATTAGTAATGTTGAAAAAAAAAACACAAACACACACACACAAAGATAACACCAAGCTTATATAGGTCATGTCCTTTATTAATTTTTTGCCCTCAACGAAAAGAATTTAAAATTTTTTTTTGCCCCCAATGCAATACCTATATAGTGTTTTTCCTAAAAATTTCACTTGCATCTCAAGTTTTTTCAAGTATACTCACATTTCAAACTTAAAGGCCCAAATAACCAAAAATCAACTCTATTACAATATAAATCGTAATTTTTGGGACTCTAAACTTGAATTAGACTTTATTACAAGCATAGTTTATACAAATAGATAAATAGACTGTAAGAGTGACAAAAAGTGTTAAGAAAGAATATAGCTGTGGTGTTATTTGAGTACAAAATAAATTAAAAAAACAATCACAGCCCTAAGGATCTATGCACCTTATATACTATTATCCTAACATGAAAAAGACTTATAACCAACAAATTCAACAACAAAACCACCTCAAATTTGTAAAAGTTAATTGGTGACTGATCAAAGTTTATTGAATAATTTTGATTAGCAAAGAAAGAGAATTCAATAAGCATGCGTTTAGCAAGAATTTACAAACCTGAGCTGCACAATTCACCAAAATGCGCTGAAATGTGGAAGTGGTTTTCCTTTCTTTCATGTCCACTGTAACTGAAATCAAGCATCCAATAATCACATTTGAATTAACACATTTATTGAATGAAAATCCAGAATCTACAAATTAGGTTCAAATCCAGAATCTACAAATTCAAACAGAGCCTAGAAGACGATAATTGTCGGAAAATCAAAAATTTCCGATCAGTCGTATCCAAATCAAGAGTCGTCAAGAACAAGAAGAAAACCAGTAACAGCGAAGATTGGGAAGAGAGAGAAATACCATTGGAGGCTCGAAGCAAAGCTTGATTCTCCTTTTTCTTCTTCTTTTTCCCCCTTTCGGTTTCTTTTGAAATCGCAAGTCGAACGACCCGACCTAACAGTCGCTCCTTCTCCTCCGGTTCTCTGCGTCTTTTTTCTTTCTTTTTTTTTTTTTTTTTTTTTGACCTTTTTCCTTCCGAATCCGGAATCACCAACTCAATACTGGTGCAATATTGCACGTGCGTCTTTAACTCAATACTGATGCAATATTGCACGTGAGAAACTAGAGCCTCCGGTCTCTTTTTTGAGTTAAAAACTCAAAAAAAATAACTTGAGTTATAATTTTATTTAAGTTCATGTTCTTTTAAATTTGAACTTCAGTTTGAATTCAAATTTGAGACTAAAACTCAAGTTCAAGTTTTTCCTTTAACTCGAATTCAGAAACTCGAACTCAAATTAATGAACAGTATTTTTTCTATTCTTAAAAATGTTATAACTTTTTCGTTTTAATTCTGATTGAGATGATTTTTTTTTCTATGCGTTGACAACGAAAAGACGAATAAAACCCCACCTATATACCCTATTAAAATTTTTTATTAGCATTGAGTTTTTATTAAAATACTATATAAATATAAATTCAAGTTTTGACTCACTCAAACACAAACTCAAAGGCCCTGTTTGTTTCTGTTTTTGTTTTCATTTTTCACGTTTTTCAAGGTTAAAAAATGAAAACGCAATTTGAAAACGCGTTTGGTGTAAAACTTTTTAAAAAACAAAAACAAAAACGTTTTTGTCTTTTCTGAAAATCTGAAAACGATATAATACCGTTTTCATTTTCTCCTTTTCGTTTTTAGGCGATCTGGGGCTTGCTTGAAGTGTTGTCTGGTAATCTTCGCCGTCGTGTCGGCTCTCGCCGTTTGCGGACCAGCTCTGTATTGGAGGTTCAAGAAGGGCATAAATCTGGGCAATTCCAAGAACTCTTGTCCTCCTTGTATCTGCGATTGCCCTCCTCCTTTGTCCCTCCTCAAGATTGCTCCTTGTGAGTACGTCTTTGTTTTGATTCTGGGTTGGTTGAGATTACGTTTTTCTATTTAAATGAGTGAGACCCAGTTTGGCTTTTTGCTTAATGATTCAAAATTTCGTTTGATTCTGAGCTGAGTAAAATGAAATTAAGAATACCCGTTTGCCGATTTGAAGGATTCGTTTATGGGCATTGTTTATTCTACCCTCCGACATATTTTTCTGTTTCTGGGTATTTGTTTAAGCCTCGAATTTCAGTTTCATGTATAATCATGTTTTTTAATATTTTTATTTAATATATTATTATTTTAAATATTATTACATGCTTTCAAAAATTAAATCATCAAACGCAGTTTCAGTTTTTTTTAAAACTGAAATCAATCTCTGAATAAAACTACCAAACGCATTTTCAGAAATAATTCCAAAATGAAAATGAAAACGTTTTCATTTCCATTTTCATACAGAAAATAAAATCATTTTGGAACCAATTCCAAACGCACCCAAAAAGATTCTCATCTCAAACCATAACTCAAATGTATACAACCAAACACAAACTCAAGTTACAACTTCAACTCAAGTTATAACTCAAACTCAACTCAAAATCTACACTCAAGTCACCTAACTCAAAAACGGCAAAAGAACAGCCCCTAAGGGTCTGTTCACTTCGTGGGTTTAACTTGAATCAGCCCAATTAGAATTGAAAACGTGACTAAAGTTCGAATTCGGTAAAAAAAGGCCGCGATTATAACTCGAATTCAAACTCGAGTTAAATGCCCGAGAATGGAATTCAACTGCCCTCTGAATTCCATTAACTCGAACCAATTGCTACAGTAAAAGCCATCTGCCACAACTCAGCTTTTTCCTCACAGATTTCCTATCCTCCTTACCGTTGCTCTGCCTCCTTTCCTATTTCCACCGACAGGTCTCTCTACGCTCTCAATTCCCATCATCCACAGGAGAGATTCGCTACAAATATCTTGAATTGAGTCTTCCCCTCTCTCACGTGCTGGAGTTCTACAAATTTACCTTCTTTTGAGCGAGGATCCCTTTCCTCTGTCATCCCTGTTTTGCCCAAAACAGAGAAAATAGCACGAATTAAAGGCTCTCAGCAGACTCTGTTGGCCGTTCTTTTGGGTAGATGTAGCCGAAAACCGGCGACGCCAACTTCTGTACCGTTGTATTCATTTGAGCTTTTTTCGCGGTCGGTATCGCCGGTGGAGAAATTCCGGTAAGGAATCGACATCATGGTTGGGGTTTTTGTTGGAGGAGCAAACACATTCATCGATTGGATCCAACTTGGTAAATCAGTTGACCCTTTACCTTTGTTTTTCCATTTCATCCACCATTTTTCTGCTGAAACTGAAAAAGATAATAAGGCCATCGAAAATCTAAACCACCAAATCTTGAGCTTTTCCTGGCTACCACAAAAACATGTTTGTGGGGCAAAACGGTTAAAAGTCACAACACGTTTAGAAAGTTAAAAGCTAAGATAAATAATACTCCTACCAAACTAGCGTTATTGGTTGTTTTCTGCTGAGAAATGCAGCTCTGTCATATACCACAATACATATATCCATGATAACTACATAAACATATATACATATATATCTACTATAATCACCACAAGATTGTACAAAATACAAATCGAAGACAAATAAATTTACAACAAACTTTTAAGCGTAATCATTTGAGGATGTTTAATCCCCTTATTTCTGTCAATGGTTATGTTTGAGAGTGAAAGATTTAAGTATAATTCACCCGTGATTGATAAGAAGTAGTTAATTTGCTTTAGTCTCATTCATTTAAGGATGTTTAATCCCCTTGTTTTTGCCGATGGTATGTTTGAGAGTGAAAGATTTAAGTATAATTCACCCATAAGAAGTAGTTAATTTGCTTTAGTTTCACTTATTTGAGGATGTTTAATCCCCTTGTTTCTGTTGATGGTCATGTTTGAGACTGAAAGATTTGAGTATAATTCACCTATGATTGACATGCTATCAAAGCTATCAAATGAAATGTTCATGAAGTGACAGTAGAGTTTAAGTTAATTATTAAGGATAACATATTTCACATATATGTGAGTTCACACATTGCATTGTTGTGCAGATGAACTTTTTGTTCTTATTGGATTTAGTACTTTGGCAGTGATGATTTTTTTTTGGCATATCAGTTTCATTATAGCAATATCCTTTTGGTTTTTGGCATTTGTCAGTTTCTACTGCATGTAATTAGGTTTTGTTGGATTGAATGTCATGTGTTGTCATTTTTTATTGCATTATGACCTATTCTTTTAAATCCCTAGCCTATTACTATGTGGTTTGGTAGCATAAGTGCCATTCCAAGAGGATAATACTCCGAAACTGAAATGATATGATTATAACCAAATCTGAGCCAATCAAAAGATTATGTACTTTAATCCTCTTTCTTCTTTGTCGTCACATATGTCGCTTTGTTCTCGTGGTTGGTGGTCTTGCTTGTATGTATTAGATGTCGCGACAGAGTGAGGATGACGTGACCACTGCGCTTTTGACGCGCCTAGCGGACTACAATAAATTAAACAAGGGCCAGCAACCCGAATCGGCGGATTGGGAACAATGGGTGAAAGATTTGTCTCCATTTTTTCATCACCTATTCCTCTAGGCCGCGTTAAAGAGGCAAAGGAACGCCTAAAGGAAAAATTCAACGCGGAGCTCGCCCTTCACACAAACACCGAACTAGGATGGGATCCAATCAAGAATACCCCAACTTGCACTGACGAGTATTGGAATGATTTCTGTGAGGTCAATGTATGGCATACTTGCATAATTTTAAATTGTTATATGCTTTTTGTTCATGACATCGTTTGATAATGCCTTCAACTGTGTGATTGAAAATAACATCCATGATCACCTGCATGTGAGTAGAAGGTGAAAACTCTTAGAAAATGAAAAACAAAAAAAAAATTATTGATTAGATGAAGAGGCAGAAGAAGATAAACACTATGCCATACTAGTAGTTCTTACTCACCTCAATTCCTCGCTTATGTGCTTCTCTAATAAGAAGCTTGAGTTCATTCACTGCATCATGGCCGCAATTATGTGTTCCCGCAGACGAATATCTTAGCATTGGTGAAAAGTAATTGACAGTCGAATATCCCCAAAAGTTTACCCTAACCACAAAAATTTACATATGTGACTGAAGATATCTTTTATCTTTTTGCCATATTCAGGTCAAATAGTGTTATGCATAAGAGCATTAGTGATAATGCAACAAAATGCTGCATAAAGAACCCATCATTTAGTCAGTACTTTGAAAACAAGAGAATGAGAATGTCATCAAATTAATGGTTTTTGCCAACATCACGACAGTTTAGAAATTTAGTTTTTCCTTAAGTGGAAAAAAAAAACACTTCTAAGCATTTTGATTTTGTCTTAATTTGATCTAGAATTGCTTATTGCTACACATGTTGCATAAATGGACCAAAAATGATGATAGTGAATAGGATCCAGCTTGCACCCACTAAATACATTGTAGATAGAAGGTAACATATCTTACTTATAATCACCTATGGCAGAATTGTAGCTGTAGTACTCAAGCTCATTGAACTCATGACATGGCATTAACTCTATACAGTTAACCCCAAGTTCCTACAAAAAAGAGAATCTAATAAGAATATGAAGAAATTATCACTCATACCTCTTATCATGAATAATTAGAATTGTTAAGTGATTCTTTCCCACAGCTATTTTACGTGGCTTTTCCTAGGCTTTGAGTTCTACTATGTAACTAGTGATCAGCATAATGAGATGCTTGCATATATTTCAAAGCATTGCATTTAAGTTTCAAATTCCCTAGAAATACTTGCAAATTTGTTATAGAGAGTCGATGAACTATACCTGTAAGTGATGAAGCTTCTCCACAACACCAAGATATGTACCAGGGAATTCAGTCCCGCTAGATTCATGCCTTGTAAACCCCCGTACATGCATTTCATATACAATTAGATCTTCTTGAGGATATTTAAGAGGTAAGTCTCCTTCCCAGTCAAACTGAAATCAAAGGGAAGTGCCCAAAAATGAACAGAATATTCAAACAATGTTCAGAACAATAACATGAGACTAAAAAAATTGCCATCAGTATGCCAATAACCTCTCATTCTGAAAATGCAAAACCAGAAAGACCTACAGACATTTTGAAGAATCTTATATTACAAATTGACCCCGACCAAATTTGAGAGTCGACAAACATCTGCGGGTGATATGATGAGAAATCTTCACTATCAAAGCAAGGAGATTGCAAAAGAGTATTTAACTATTTCTCACAAAAACCAACACCAAATACATCCAAAGAGATTACTCTCAATGCATGAAGCAAGAGAGAAGATCAAAATCTCAGTTTTCTAGGGCTGCTGCAAATGGTTGCAAGGAAATCTATTTATAGGATGAATGCAGGCACAATGAACAACAAGCTGCAAGTTGCGTGCTGCAAGCGTAGCTAACTATTGACCAAACTCTGAGTAGCTTTTCAGGCGTAGCTCTAAGCTTTTTCTCATAAAGCTTTACTAAAATTTTGTGACCCACATTTCAACACAACGTACAGATATTTTCAACAATTACATACAGATATTTTGAAAAATCTTATAATACAAATTTGGCCGCCTTGATCAAAGTTGTTAGTCGAATTCATAGTCCAACATGGATGTGAATTTACAGAACAAATAATAGTGAAAATTACTGGAGATAGTGATACTAATGGATTGAGTTTCAAAAACAAGACAAGACAAAATAAGAAACTAAAACTTGGATTCTAGAATGGAAAATGAAAACTAGAAAACATCTTCCAGACTTAAAAGTAGTACCTCATTATCAAAGAAAGGAACCGCGCATGCCATTTGGGGCCAACAATTACCATCTGGACCTAAAGTTCCGTATTCTCCTCTACATATAACTGCCTAGAGAAATCAAAGTGAACCACAAGTCCATTACACTTCAAAATCTGGAACCACATTAACCAAACTTGTGGATAAGTTAAGAACATCTGCCATTTACCTATACATAATAAGCAAATAATATTCTTTTTTCCATATAACAAAAACAACAGGAAAATCCAAACCGACATAAAATGGAAATATGGCTCATCTCATCTAAAGGTCACCAACCTTTCCATAGGGGTCCAACACAATCCGAGAAGGATCATAGTAGTGCCCTTCTTCAGGAGAAAACTTCCCATCAAATTTATAGCCGTAAAGCATGTCTTTAAAATCCACTTTGACGAAAACATGCCAAACACTTCCAGTCTGGTTAATCACGGGATCAAGGGATATCTCCTCAGTCACTCTATTCTGCATCAGATAAATGGAAGTCAGGGACACCCCACTCAATTGTTTTTCCTACTTTGTTAGTTGCATGTCAAATTTTGTTTATTTGATAGTTGCTTGCTTGTATTTTTTATGTTTTCCAAAATTTTATTCTATAACCACTTGAACTCCAAATACTAATTATACCCCACTCGGGCCACTTCAAACTTAAAAACCGATAATTAACCAAACCAATTCTGAAGTTTATGAACTCATTTGGACTAAACTCTACTAAATTCAATTAAACTAATCTTAAACTTGGTCCAATGGAGAAAAATAAATCTATAATCTAAAATGAGAAAATGCAACGTATTGCTTATTAAAGAAAAATATAATGCAATTTATAAAAAACATTATATATATATA